CCCCAAAACCCCAAAACCCCAAAACCCCAGAATCTATATAAAAGTTGAGATCTAAGATAATAATATAAAATGATTGCTATTCATAAATTAAGATTTAAACTTACTCCTGTGTTTTGCAAAATAATAAAATTATTTACAATTTGGATAGGACTCTACTTGGGGTTGGTAGCTGCCGGGAATGATATACATTTCTCAACATCAACGAAGGATTGTAGAACCTGTGTTGAAATGAAGGAAAATAAGTGGTGAAGGCCTAAATATGAGCACAAATACGGAAAATGAGTCAGCACTGATATGAAAATTCAGACACAGTACAACCTCTGAAGCAGCCTCAAAGGCACTGATTATCACCAAGACTACTTGTTATGTCCTTCAGATGCTAACTCATGTGGTACTCAAATCCAATGGAGTGATTCTCATCAGGATCATTACAAGTTTGTGTCCAACACAATTCCTGCTGATGGAGTCTGTTGGTATGAACTCAAAAAGACTTCAAGCAAAAACTCACAGTTCCACATCGATTTCAAGGGCTCGAATGCCCAATATGACGCCAAAGTATATGTCAAAGACTCTAACGGCACTTTGGCTGAAATCGAAAACAGTTCGGACAACTTTGAAGTTAGATACAAAAGTTCGATATTAGTTTTGATTGCTCCAAAAAGTGGTTATGCTGCGAAGGTAGACATCAGCATCAAGCAGAAAGGATACAAGGAATCTTATATGCTCAAACACAAGCTTTTGATTTATATCGTGTTACTATCTGCTTTTGTTGTAACTCTGATGCTCTTTCTCCTGTTCATAGTTCTATTTAATATTTGTAAAACCTCACAAAAACCAGATTATGAAGAAAGCTATCCAAAAAGTATTTATAAGCCTTCACTTACAATGGAGAACTCCAAAATTATAGCTCAAAGCTCAATAGTTCCTCAATCATCTAGAGAACTCAAAATGGAGCGCGATAATGCTTCCTCCTCCTATGCCAACTTCCAAAAGTAAGTTTGAGACTATTTATTTGGGACGCTTTATTTATATAAGTAAAGCGTCTTTTTTTATTTTAAAACTCAACACTTGTTCAAATCAGTAAACTTTCATAACAAAGCTTCGAGATTTTGATGTTGTTTCATTAGTCAAGAATGCTAAAATACAAAAGAACTTCTTAACAATGCTTCTTCCTCATTTCTACTCTTGTTTCCCTACCATAAAATTTATCTCAAATCATTAACCCAAACACTACATCATAAAATATCTAATCACTTTCTCAATCTATTTCCTATTTGCGCAATCCCCAACGAGTCCTAACCTCATAGAGTTTACAAAATCACTCCCTACAAACCCTGGCTGCCAGCTAAAATCTCACAAGTCAAGTCCTAAAGGTCAAAATTTATTTAAAAAGTCCTAAATTTCAACTGTTAAAATATTTGTGGGGTTTTGGGGTTTTGGGGTTTTGGGG